TGCATCTCTCTCTCTCTCTCTCTCTCTCTCTCTCTCTCTCTCTCTCTCAATTCAGATTAATTTAAATCACATTTAATTTCCTCTTTTCAATCATCCCCACATTTTCCAAAAGGGTGTAACGGGACCTGTGATTAGCACTATGTTTTGCGTTTCATCGGCGGACACATCGTTATTCATCAGTGTATTAGATCGTAAGAGAGCAATTTTCGACAGGCGCGGTCGAGGAAATCGATCAGCCTGGTCGACCGCCGGTATCAAAATGCGAACCGCCTACAATTTCTCACTCCGAAAGAACGCGATTAAACGAAGGGTTAAGAGTGAAAGAGGAAATGAAAGAGAAGGAGGGAGAGCTCTCGCGAAGTGCGGAGGAAAAAGACCGCGCATCCCGAGAAGGGATCGAGAAAAGGGCGAGTAGCAGCTTCACGAAATTCGGCGGAGGAGAGCGGCGACGAGGAACTTTCACCATAAATCAAACGACCCTCGTGCGAATTCCGCGGGGATGGCCCTTTTCCCTTGGTTTTCAAAGGGCGAGACAGAGAGAGAGGGAGAGAGAAGGAGAGCGCTTCTCGCTTTTTCTCGGGCGCGCAAATCGGCGCGTTACGAGCCTGCGAGGACAGATCGATAAAGACTCACGCCAGACATTGCCCGAATTCCGCAAATATCGCGTTTTCAGACGCGTGACGCGAGCTTCGGAGTCAATTAAACGGGACACCCGGTACACATAACTCCAACCATATCGAGCGGCGCAACGACGGGAACGTTCGCCTACATAAGAGAATTTTATCTCGAATTTTTGTGCGATTAAAGTTTGCGTCTATACATTGCCGTCGCATTATGTAAATATACATCGCGTAGATAGAAGCACCATTGTACATTCGCGAAAATATGTCGCGATTAAAAGTTATTGTTCAAATATTTCGTCGAGAGGCCCTCTAGTCTTTAGATTTTTTTTTAAACACCACATACAGGCATATAGGCAAATTGGTTCTGCGCGGATACGATTGGATTGGCGAAAATCGATCTTTATCTTTCATGAAACTGCGAAGGCAAAATGAAATTTCGTGAACACGGTCCAGAAATGTCATGAATACGAAAATAGATGTGGAAAAAAATATTCATCGCGTACTCTGCAGTAAAATGGAATTCAATCCGCACGGAGCAAATCGGAAACGATAAGGGAAATACGATAGAAAGAATACGGAAGTACGTTGATCGTAATATCTGGTCGCACGGCGTGGCGTGAGGTCGTAAAGCTCGATATTGCCGGTGATCTAGCACGTATCTAGCTAGGCCAGTACTAATGGCCATACAGCACAGGCCACGTAAACAAGCGTACGTCCCGAAGTGCGGGTATGCTCGGCCATGGAGATATCTTAATGCCGATCTGCCGAGTGTTTGCAGAGAATGAGGAAAATTAATGTAATAATATGGGGCAACGGTGCGAGACCGGCCCCCGGGTCATTTATGTCCCCGTTGCACGTGATCCCGCGCCGAGAACCGAGCTATTCAGCCGCGCCTTTATGACTTCTGGGGCCCTGACCACCCAAATTACCCAAGGACCCCTGCAATATATTAACCAATTTCCACAAGATATACTACGTTTACGTTTGTGAAAAATATAAAGTGCATATGCAGAATATATTTCGGTATTTATAGAATTTACAGATATATATAGAATTTATTTCGGTCTATATCAAATCCTTGCATTAACAAAAAATAATAAATTATTATTTAAAAGAAAGTGTAATTTAATTCTTTTACGAAATTATAAAAAATATATATTCTATTAACATTTATTATTCGTCAACTTTTTATTAAATAAAAATTTGTTAAAATTATTTATAGTCATTAAATATGTAAAATATGTTAGAGAGAGAGAGAGAGAGAGAGAGAGAGAGAGA